ATAATCTGACATCTACACAAGAACATTTACCAACAAGATAAAGTTCTCTATCAAGCCAGTTGGACAGATACAGATACAGATACAACAGCAGATACAATATCGATATGATGCCAGTCATGCTCCTAAATGTATGCTCTTTGCTTAGGTGGAGACTAGATTCAGGGATCCTTTAAAAGTCCTTGTACTAGGTCAGGGAAATGTTTTCCGGTATAACTATTAACTAACTAACTATTTGTAAGACTAGTGGAGTTAGATACGCAGGGATGATGGCCGGACTACCGAGCAGGCTATGGCCTTCAGATCAAGCCACAGTGGTTTAGCCTAAGCAGATATAATATAGATGTAAAGTTGGGTCAAGCCAAATCCGCTCTTTGTTTGGGTGAGTGTAGGATTTAAAGGCAGCTTAAAAAAAATGTCACATCAGGGCTACTAGAGAATGGTGTCTGTCAGAGGGCCCGGCAGATTTATGATGGCACAGCCTGATACTGAATGCAGGGCCTAATGATAGGTCAAAGCTTTATTTAACATGAATAAAGGGATTCTATTGAATTGCCAAACCTTTGGCACATACTGTGTATTGACAACTATCTACAGTGTCAGCATAATCAGCGAAAGTGGTCTCGGTCTCAGCTCATACCTCATGGAAGAAAGCCGACAAGAAGAAGACAGCTGATTGGCTGACTATTTTACTGAATCCTCTCCTCAGCAGCGGCTTGTAAAAGTGGCTGCAAGACAGACAGAAGAACAGATGTTGGACCAGGTGGATGGACAGATGATGGGGTGGATGGACATATATCTTAAAACAGAAAGTCAAATGCACTGATCAAAAAAATGACTTAAGGACAAAGATTTAACTTCTTGTGAAATCTGTTTTGTCATTTACTATCTATTTTCCTAGTGTGTAACTCTCCTTTGTCCTGTAATTCTCCTTTCCTGGCAGGAATTAAACCATTTAAACTAAAAATGAATTTACTTTGTCTTTGTTTAATATAATCTGGCTGCATTTGCTCCAGCTGCTATGTTAGTGTATGTGGAACTGGCTGCAGGCACTGTATTTATTACTACCACTTATTCTCTCACAGCCAGATGAATCACTTTCCCAAATACATTGGTGTGCCTTGTTAAGCCTTGTTCAGTTCTATAAATTTCATTGCTCCCTCTCAGTGTGTTAGTGTGTGAATAACTCACCGTAGACACCACTTGTGTACAGGGATGTTCCAGTTCTGCCAAAAATATGTCACTGACTCAGAGTTCCTGAAAGAAGAGTCAGAAAAATAGCGTACTGAAGCATTATAGGGTCTAAATAATGGATCTAAGGCAGTTTGATCAATATTGACGAACATGAAAAAGTCTAAAATCGTTACTGTCATGCAGCAACAGAAAAAGTAATAGTAATTATCCTAGGGTAGATTGAGTGATAAAATTGATTTGCTCATATCAGCAAAGACATAAAGTGATGCATCCGGAAAATGTACTCCTTTGAGTCTACAAAGGGCACTGTTAAAAGACCAATGGATGTGTTAAACTACACTATAAACACTACTAAAACAGAGTTTCAAAACTCCATCATACTTCATAAAATCCAACCCAGACACAAACACACACAGAGACTTACCACCAGTCCTTGTAGAACTGTCTGTCTCCAAAGCGCAGCAGCTCAGCAGTGAAGTTTAAAGACGAGTGGAAGAACCAGTAGAAAAACATGAGCCACATCAAATGATTAGGAACCTGGAGTTAGAAGCGTGGAAGATCCAAATGAACAAAAGAAAAATATGACTGTGAGACATTTAATTCTTAATATGTGTAACAGTAATATTTGGAAATAGTAATAATAATAGTAGAGTTTACATGTTGTATTTCTACTCACAGCTAATCTTAGAAGTCTCTCAGTCATCCTGGAAAGATCCATGTCCTACAGAGGAGAGGAGAGACACACAGATTAACAAACATGTTGTTTTGTATATATATAAGCTTCACTGCCACTCTGTCTTCCTTACCTCTAATGGTTTCATGGAGCTTTGAATGATAGGAATCATCCACTGATGGAAAGAAAGTAAAAAGCAGTGTTAAGTTAAGTGTATTCTGGTAATCAATCCTATTTAGTATAAATATACAAATAATGATATTAATCATTAAAATGTGAATAGATAGACAAATGTAGCACCATACATCAGTTGTGGTTTACAGTATAAGCCCGTACCTGTTGAGTGAGAGCAACTAGCAGCTGGGTGAAGAACAGCTGGGGACAAGGACACACGTCAATAGAGTGAGTGATTGCACAGAAATAGATAATTAGAAAAGAAAACAGTGAAGCATTTTTTAAAATTATGTATCATTACTTAAAGCACTCAAGTAATTCTACTACCGTGTACTGTGTAGAACAGAGACATTTTTGATTTCTCATGTTACTTATCCTGTTGGACTGGGCTGTCACCATGCCCCCAGATCTCAGCATTTAACTTGATGTGTAAAATATTATCATAACCCGCTCATAATGATGGCCAAGCCTCAAAAATAAGACACAATGTTTACCCTTACAAAAAGCAAAATTACACCTTCACCACCATGTAAAGCAAACATGAAGCTCTTAACAACTGTGCGGGGATACTTGCTTCTTAAGTACTTTTTCTGGGAGATGATTGTAAAAATTCCAAGCAGTTAGATCAGTCATCACCAGGAAAAGGGGGCACATTTTGACTGGAAGCTACAGCTACAGTAAATGTGTTTTTTCTCTGCCTGACATGCTGACATGAGATATTTCCTCACCATCTCAAACAGTCTCCTCAGCAGGAAACTCATGCGAATAGTAGGCGAGCGAGGAAAGTTGAGCTCGTAGCACAGAGTCGGAGCAAAGACAAAGTAGTACATGTCTACACAGATGGAGAGAGGGTTTATGGGAGAGATAAAAAAATCAAACTTATGAAAAAGAGGCAGTGGTGTATTATAGAAACATTTAAGTTTCATACAATTGCTTAAAAGATGTATTTGAGTACCTCTGATTGTGAGGTTGCCAGGGTAACACACCTGTCGGTCGCCTCCATTGAGGTGTTGTCCTGAGGGACCTGAGGGCAGAATTATTGCACAAACCCTCATGACATTGCAAAGTATTTGTGAGGTAACATTGTATTCTATGAGTCATTAAATAGAAATACAAATTAAAACAATGAAAAATAAATGCAGATTTTGATATACAACAATTTCCTCTTACATAATCAAGATTTCCACACAGTTCTGTGACAGTTCCTGTGTACTAAACTGTCAAGCTTTCATTTTATCAAAGAGTTGCAGTGTCAAGTATCTGCCATTAGATGTCACTGTAACAGCATGAGCAAGGGTCTACAAAGAAATTAAATATATACACAGAAACTGACCTTAAATCTAGCATAGAATATATTCTCATTTAGGTCCTAAATTGAATAAGCCCTCTCTTGTAAACATAGGTATGTGCATGTGTATTTGTGACTTACAAGACAGCGACCTGGCCAGTTTCTTGGCCTTGACAGTGCTCAGCTCTCTGCACCACATGTTGACGTCCTTATAAGAGTACAGCTTTAGGAAGAGGATGGTGTAAGTACCAAGAACGAACACACCACCAACTGCCAGAGAGAGAGAGAGAGAGAGCGAGAGCAAGAGAGAGAACCAGAGATGAGAAGGAGAAATGAGGGAAGGGCAGTAGAGGGTAGTAAATGGGGAGGAAGGAAGAAGGGAGGATGAGATAAAGAGAAGGAGGCGGAGAAAGTGAGCAAAAAGTACGACATGGAGGACGGAGGGAGAGACAGGGAGAGAATGGAAAACAAGAGAAAAACAAAGGAGGAGTAAGCGAGTGAAAAGGGAAGTGAAAGAGAGAGAGAGAGAGAGAGAGGTCGTCATTTGATCTTGAACAAACAGCAAAACAAGCCCAGTAAAATAAATCATCTCAACAAGTATGAGAGCAGTCTAACTATGCCAAGGACATTATTATACAATATAGTCACCATGTTTATCTGTGTGTGTGTATGTGTGTGTGTGTGTGCACGCACTCATGTTCTTATGCTTGCCTACTCTGCATGAGTACTTGCATGTGTGTGTAAACTCAGCTAAAATCTACTTGACCAGTGTCACTCTTACCAGCCAAGGACATTATATTCAAATACAAGCACACTGACACACATGCACGCACGCACGCACACGCACACACACATACCACTACACCACAACACTACAGTTCATATTCAATTTCCATTTCATTTTCCTTTCCAGTGCTTTATCAAACTGCTCAGCTTAGAGAGACATAGTTTCCTTTCTGCCTCATCACCGTTTAGCCCACTTTCTCGGGAACTCGTGCAGAAAAACAGCTTGATTTCTTAGACCTAAACTGCCTACTGTACTGTAGTACATTCACACATTGAATGCATTTTCCACCTCAGCATTCTGTTGTTTATCTTTCTGTTGCTGTGTATGCACGTTGTGTATTGGTCTGTGTAAACTAGATTAGCCAGAAATTATTAGCTACACA